TCCTGGATTTCACCACAAGGATCCAGAGGGTTTGCACACCTTCACACATTACAGTTGTTGGCTCCTGTTTGTAGCTGAAATGGTGGTTGCTCCCTTCCCAGGCACCCCACCCTCCACTACAAGGTCTCATCCTGCTGCAGGTTGGACAGGGTTAACATCTGCTCCGTATCACAGAGCCTGGCCGAGTTAGTGTGTGTTGCCCAGCATGGCATCTCTCCCCAAAACTACTTCTTCCAATTGTTGCCTCACAAAATTCAGCTTGGCAAAAAAACCTCCTACCTCATACACACCTGGACACAGAGATTGCTCAGCACACTCCATCAGAGGCAGAAGAATTAACCTTTAAGTAGTGAATGAGGGAAAACATTGTAAGGCAACCCAGCCACCCCCCTACTTGTTAAACACAAATAATACGTCATCTCTGCTGTATTTGCAGGCTTCAAAGTGCCAAACAACAGAAACACAGAACTGTCATCAGGGCTTTTGAGGAAACAGTTCAGCCACCGCCTTGTGCAATGGAGCTAATCTGAAAGTTTGCTGGTGATACTGATGGCTGGAGAGAATCAGCTACCCCTCACCCCAAATCACCTCTCCACACAGAGCCACCACACCTCACTCTCACAGGGCTCAGTACTTCCTCCCTATGTGGTCAGTCATCCTTATCAATGCCTAGAGGGAGTGTCTCAATTCAATGGCCAAACACTGAATTATTTTTTATTAATTAATGCATTATCAAGTTTCACAGTGGAAACAAGATGCATCTCCTTGAGAACATGAATTCTGAATTGCTTTTTCAAGTTAAACTTTGAAGCAGAGACATGTCAAGACTAGAAGTCTTTAAAAATAAAGATAAGGAAGTACAAAACTAAGTCATCACAACTACATTCTAGGTTTCCTAAAAGCATGTGGGATGGCTGCAGGAATTTTTGGGCTGCAATTTGCAAGTCTGAAGAGACAAGATTTTCTAATATTTATAAAAGCTCCATAAGATGAGCAGACTTCTCTATAAAACCACAAACCACAGGTCAATCACATGATCCATCACTAGTGCTAAGCCAGCAACAACCCTCCACTCTCCCTTGGTTTGCTCTTACAGTCCATGTGACATGAGAAACTGGGCACAGAAGAAAATGACTTAACTCCAGGTTTGTATTTTTGCCATTTCGGTCTTAATTTCTCAGCAGATCCCTTTCAACTTTTTAAATATGCAACATTTGCACTTCCATCTCCTTCTAGGACATTCCCTAGAATCAGTTTTTATCTTCTTTGCCCAGGGCTGGGACAATATGCATTTCCAAGAGAAAGCACGTGCTGATTAAGCAGAAGGATTCCTGAAAAGAAGACCTTAGAGGCTCCAGGTTCTTTACCACATCTCCTGAAGATACAAGAGCAAAACATTTTCCAACCATTACCTCTCCCCCAAGCCAACACAACATGACTAGGTTTGCTTGCACAGCTTCAGCTGGAATGGTGTTCAAAGCAGCTGCAGCACCATCAGGTCAAATAAACCACATGCAGACAAGGCTGCCAGCAGGGTCACAGTGCCCCAAATAACCTCCCATTCCAGCTGTCCTGGCATCCTCGCTCGCACTCCTCCTGGTACCGCCTGTGCTGCTTGGCAGGCAGAGCGGCCCGGGAGCCTTGGAAGTAGAGCCCAGAGCTTTCCATGACTGAGGCTGTTTGTAAGACAGTGCACACAGAGCACTTGCCAGCTTTTTGAAGAGCTCAGTACAAAAGGCAAACAAGGAACGGAAACGTCATCTTCTCCAACAATCTCAATACGTCACAAAGTTCCTCTGATCTGCAGCTCCCAAGTTCAGATTTGGAGATATGATTGCCCTCCCTTAACATTTCAGCACAGGCCCCTTCTTCCCTATTGCTGACGCTCTTCTCATCTTTATACCTTATCACCACCCTCTAACTTTATCTATAATCTTTGGAGCACAAGGAGGGATAGTATGTCTTGCACCCCAAAAGTTAAGCAATGAGAGCTATTGCAAAACAGCACAGCAAACCCCGTGGGCAAAATGCACCAACACTTGCATTGGGAGGTGGAAACATTTGGAGCTGGACCCCAAGAAGGCTGTATGCTCATCCTTCCAGTTTTCTGCTGTGCACACAGGCTGTGGTGTTACACAGACTCTCCCACTCACAGGAGTGGGTTTGGTCCCGTGATGTTTCATACCCTGTTACCACACACTTTCATGCTATTTTCATGTCTGGAACATCTCCACTTAAATGTCAGGTATCCTTCTGCTCCACTGCCTGGCCACTTCCATCCCTTTGGATTGTTTCTTTCACAGAGCTAATTCTGATTATACAACTATAGCAACTAATACTAACTATAACAACTAATTCTAAATGTATAAAGTTTCCCTGATCATTGAGGGAAACAATGAAAGATCAAAACTGCTTTACACTTTCCTCTGTTTATTGCTTGCTTTCCCCAAGACAATTCTTAAAACTGTCTCAAGACCAGCAATATCTAATGCTATGGAATAGCTGGACGAGAAGGGAAACCACTCAGGTAAGAGAGTTCTGTTGCCTCACTGGGTGCTCATTCACAGGATAATACCCACATGGGAACGCCCAGCTTGGGTCTAGTCAGGAAGGGGATTTTCCTCCACCTTCTCACGTCACCAGCAGGTATTTCACTATGAAATGCTTCTCCTCCTTACTTAACTGAATTATGGATCCTTGCTGAAGAAATTACATTACCAGATGAATAAAAGAAGAAGAAGCCTTTGCTGAAACAAACTACAGTAACCAGCCTTACCAGTAGGTGTACTGTGCCTACAATAGACATTTTAAGGTGACAGCCTTAAAATCACATCATTTCACTCACCTAAAAGAGACCAGAGACTATTAGGAGTTCACTGGATGCTTTTATCCCTATCTCCAGGCTGAAAAGGCAATCTTACTTGTACTGCTACACTTGGGAACAGAAAGGCAGCATGTACAGCTGCAGGAAATAGCACTGACTAAAAACTGCCTAGTCAGAGAACCTCCATTTTGGCAAACAAAACTACATCAACTTATACAAAGGATTTAACTTACTGTGTCAAGCTGAGTCTGGGGTAACTGGGGAGGAGTGAGGGCACTTTTAATATGCTACTGCCTCATCAATTGTCCATAGTGGGCCCATGTGACAGGTAGACAAGTTAGAGAGATGATTTTCTAGTCATGGTTTAATTCCAGCAGGCAGCAAATCCCCACACAGCCCCTCACTCACTCCTCTGCTGTAGGATGGGAGAGATAATCACAAGAGTGAAAGTGTAAAAATCTGTGGTTTGAGATAAAGATGATTTAATAACCAAAAAAGAGGACAAAAACAACAGGCAGAGAACACTAAAACAAAACAAAAAAAAACACAACACAACAAAAAAACCAACCAAAACCAAACCAAACCCCAGAAAAACAAATGATGCAAAAAAACCCAATTGCTCACCATGAACTGACCAATGCCCAGCCAGTCCCTGAGCTATGGAAGCCCCAGCCAACCTCCACCCTCACAGTTTTATTGCTGAGCTTGATGTCATATGGTGTGGAATATGCCTTTGCTCAGTTGGGGTCACCCCCTTCCAACTTCTTGTGCACCCCCAGCCTACTTGCTGGCAGGGCAGTGTGAGAAACAGAAAAGCCCTTGACACTGCACAAGCACTGTTCAGCAATGATAAAAACATCCCTGTGCTCTCATCACTGTTTTCATCACAAATCTAAAGCACAGCCCCATACAAGCTGCTATGAAGGGAACTAACTCTATCCCAGACAAAACCAGCAGAGAACAAGGTATGCCCTTGATTTCCAGCAATCTGCTGCTCAACAGAAAATTCCTAACACTGCCATTGCTCTAAGAGAGATGCACATGGGCTCCAGCACAGCATTTTTCACTGCTGTGAGTTGATTTCTTGTTCTCAATGACTTTGACAATCCCACCTCTGCTTTAACTTCCACCTTCCTGCCAATGCCCACAGTAACACAGATATGAGCACCAGCAGGGGCTCGCTACAGATACCTGGTGTAGTAAAGATGCTTTACTATGCAAGCAAGACTTAAAGTGTCTCTCTGGGCCTTAAGTGTTTAAATTCAGACAAAGAGGAGACACCCACTTCTCTCCTCTGTTAGCTGTCCTTGCTATACAGAAAGGAGCAGGCGACCTACTTAAATACTTTCTGGAAACCTCAGTTACAGATACCTATAGAGCTCTCACTAAAAATCCAAGTCCTTCCCCCATCCCACACTGTTACAGAGGAAGCACTTGGATTCATGTTTTCTAGGGTATTTTTTCTCTCCTGACTATATAGGCAGTTCAGGCTCCTAAACTGGACACAGAAGATGGTGTTTCTGCCTGAGTACCTAATGGGGAGAAACAAGGGCTGAGATAAGCAAAAAAAAATTACAGGCTGAATACCTGAAATAACCATAACTAAAAATATACTGGTTGGGGTCTACTGGTTCTTTCTAAGAGGAGGAAAACTGTGTAAGAGAGGAGGAAATGAGGGTGTGAATGCAAGTCACAGCAAGTGCAGCAAAGCTCACGGTAGCTGGAAGGATTAGTGTATCATTTCCTGCCATGTGCTGCACAAAGCAGGACAAACCCAAGGATGCAAGATTGAAAAAAAGGCTATTGTGTGATTTTCAACATCTGAAGCAACTGGAGAGATGTCAGGGAGGTACTCCAGGATTAAGATAAACCACTGCTGGATGTGCTAATCAGCTGGGCTGTAAACTGCAGCAGCCCTGGTGTGGGGTGGTGCCCTTCAGGAGGAGGGCAGGGTACCTTGTATGAGTGTGGCAACAACTTCTGCTGTCCAGGCTGAGCCTGAGTCATGCCCCTGCAATGGGCCTCTGCCAAGAGACCAAACTCCTCTGCATCAATGGGCAGCTCCTGGGGCCTGGCAGACAGGAAAAGTGTCCTGACCCAACAGCCTTGTGAGGACCCACCAGCTGTTCATGGATTTTAAAAGACATCCATTATACTGGGGAACAAAACCACTTACACTTGTTTGTACGAGACAGGTACAAATCTTGCCTGGCCCATGGTGGTGACACAGGGGTGCTGCTCAGCCTCTCTGCAACATGAGCCTCAGCATCCAGCAGCTTCTCCAGCTTGGTCAAATTCTCTAGTGAGTAGAGGGTCCTAGAAAGAAATGAGATTTCCTGTTCTGTCATGTGAAGAAGACACTGGCTCCAAGTCAGGAAAACGTGTTGCAGAAATTCGTGTGGGAAGAATTGTCACTATGCAGCTACTACTTCAACCCTCGAATTTTGCCTTAAAAGGCAAATAAATGAAGTCCTCTCTAAGAACTAACTGCTGGTCTCAGGACCGGAGGTGGAAGTTCTCAGATCTAAGCCTGGAATTTGAGTCTGGATTAAATCCAGATGTCAGGATCACACCCACTCCCTTAGAAAATTCAGATCTCAATATAGACAGTGGCTTGTGCGTGGGGAGGGGAAATTGTTTTTCTGGCTCGCCCTCTTTGACACTGACTGGATGGGAAAAAATTAGGAGTATGCACAGCTCTGACTTCAGAAGTGGGCAAAAGGGATTAGATGTTGCTAATTACAGTACAGTTATAGGTTTTCATTCAGACAGGCTGAGTGCAGAGGGGCAGAATCAGAACCAAGAGTCAGCACTCTTGGTTTTCTGCTCAAGTATCTAAATGAACTCTTCAAAGCATAAAATTCATTAAAATCCTATGAAAGGACCTACTTGTGGACAGATGCAAGGCCAGATGAACACCACAAACCTGTGAATCAAGTTCTATTTCTAAGAATGAGGCAAAACACGCTTGAGAGAAGAGGGATGGGAGGGAAGTACTGAAGGTAACTTACACCTGAGCCTACATGCTAAACCAGTAACGTGGAAGGAGACCATCTTCGCCAGCAATTCTTCACAGACATCTGCAGAAATCAACTTGACCCTGTGGCAGGGGATTTTTTTTTTCCCCATTTCAATTTCTGTAGGGGAAGCACTTTCTATGGCTTCTCACTCCCCTCCCAAACTACTGGAAATTAACTTTTTCTCCCCCCTCCTTGCACCTTATTTAGCAAAGAAATGGACAAATCACAGCTGTAGGAAACCAAAATCACAGAGGCTCTCAGAGTAGCTGAGAATCTTCCCTTCCCTTCCCCTGCAGCACATGGGCCTTTCAGGCAGTCGAGCTTCCTCTGCTGAATCCATCTGGTACATACCTCAGGAACCAGCTCCAAAACACAGGCATAGCAAGGAAGCACCCAACTTCTGACTGAAACTTTGTCATGGACAATGGAATAAATTTGTCCTCACATCAGTGTTCCCCCTCAGCTTAAACCATTTGCCTCCTTTATTCCATACTATTCTGCCCTTCCTGTATTCCCAGGCAGCCACTGCCTCTCCCCCACACACTGTACCTGCCAGCTCTCCAGACAGGCTGCCTAAGCCTGCTCTCTCCCTCAGGATGGGGTCCCTGTCCCCCCTTGGCTGCCACTGGCCCTGTTGCTGTTTGCCAGGAGATCTTCAATCTGCATTTGCATGGCACTTCATGCCAGTTCCCCCTGAGCCCTGCAGGATGGCAGTAACGCATCGCCACAATTAACATCCTTAAACACCATTTAATTAATCCACTGAAGCCCTAAGAAATTTTAATTAACGGCAGCTTTATTAGTATTTACTTCACCTTCAACACGTAAGCTCCGGCAGTATTTCCAAAGGGAGGGCAGTGGCAGAGCAGTTGACAAGACACTCCCTTCCCCTGACTTTTCCCTGCTCTGTTGCTCCCAGAGCTCCCAGCCAGCTCTGCACTGACAAGGACACGTTCCTCCGGCAAACCTCCAAGATGAGGGTCAAGTAAATGTCATTCCTTGGCTCTGCGCAATTCCTGTCATGCACAAGGTTAAATAAATTCACCAAAATCAAGCTTTAAAGAGGTGCTATTGCAGCGTTTGATCAACAGCAGAGATTGTAGGGAAGTCTGACAGGAAAGCCGAGAGTTCTGCTCCATTTAGAGATCCCTGTGTCGCAGCCAAGGTCGCTGTGTCTCAGCTACCAACCTTGAGTGATGTTTGTGTAAAAAGCAGATGCTCTTTGGGTTTCAGGCTTCACACGCACTCCTGAACACAAACCCACAACTTCCTGGATTCCAGCAACACAGCAGACTAATGTACTTCACCCCTCAGCCCTGCAAAATGGCAAGATGCTGCTGTTAAGATTACCTGGATAAAGAAGGATTATCAGATTTTTGTGGGATCAAACCTGCTGTGGCAGGTGTCCAGGCGGATGAGCTCTGCAGCCTGTTGCAGCACTCTGCCAGCACATTTGCCCAACACCTTTCTCTGGTGCCTCTTAGGACAAAACACACGTTCCCTCTGTCCCTCTGAGTTAAGTACCATGGACAAACAATAAGGGAAAAATGGGAAAAGGAAAAATACTCTCAACATACTATAAATCAAGCATACAGCTGTTGATTTCTGTTGTTAAAACTGCAATTAATCCAAGGAGCACAGGAGTGATCCCTTAGGTCCAGACATATAATTAACTCTGTGTGCAAAGGAAGCTTGACAGCTATCTACGTGGTAGAACGTCATGTTTCCTCAATTTTAAAGTAACTGATATGATACAAAGCTTCAGGGTAGGGAGACAAATATTGCTGTTTGAGGGAGCAGGGACAGCAGTAATCTGAAACACAGATCAGATGTCTTTAATCTTCAAGCGCTAATTAACTATTATTTTGCAAAATACTTGAGGTGTGTAACACTAACCAAAAGCCAGTTATGGGGAGGAAAACAAACCTCCTCATGAGCGACTGAACTAATAATTTGAAACACTATCCCGCTATTACTGAATGACCCAGACTCCTGCTATCTTAACTGCTATACAGGCTCAGGTCAAATGCCACAGCCTTACTTTAATAATTTATTTACATAACAAATAAAAACTAGCATGTATCTAATTTAGTGATGCCCACTGATGGGAGGCTGTTTCTGCATTACACTGACAAATAATGAGCTGCTTAAGATCCGAGCATCGACACTTGTTAAACAACACTGTCTTAAATTTCTAATAAGCAAGAGAGAACTGCGCTTAAAACACACCTGCTAAAGCCTTACTAAAACCCAAATCCCGTGCCCTGCCTTGTAAAGTCCCAGCTACTTTCTTCAGGGCTCTGTGAGGAGTATGTGAGGGCAGAACTCTGTCCCACTTTCTACCTCAGAGCTTGGTAACATGCTGGAGCTCACAGCGAGTCTGACATTTGACTATGTTTGAGGATGCCTTCCTCCTGACCAGCTTGCTCAGATCCCAAAGTTAATGTACTGCAGCCAGCATCCTCTAAATGAGTCAATGATGAAGAGAGGAGGGTCAGATAAATACCCTGCTGGTCATTCCCCTATCCTCTGACAGAGGAGTTGTCTAAGGACTAGTCTGCAACATGTAAATACTGACCAATATTTTCCGAGTGCCTTTTATATCCAAACTTGTGTTCAGCAGCCACAGTCCCACACAGACTTTGCATTTCTCTAAGCACTTTATATGAGCACCTTCTAGTAACTACACAACATGATTGCATGCAAGGCAAGAGTCAAGAAAGAGCAGGCTTTAAAAAAGCTCTCCTCCAAACTCCGTACCTGTTACAAAATCCACTCTTGCCTCAAAGTGCTTGAGACAGCCCTCAGCTCTTTACCCAAATCCTGTCTTCCGTGAAATTGTTTCACAAGATGAAGGAAAAAAATGCATCATCGTTTTTCTTCCTCCGTTCTTTCCACACTTCAGCAGTCAGTATGTGCTGTGGTTTGAATGACCAGACACATAAGGAGAGCTCCTTTTACCATTACCTACCTGTAAATAATTCTTTTAAGCAACTAAACTTTAATGCCCATTGCAAACCAGAGGATGAAGGGTTCAATTTTACTTCTTGCTGTTCTTTTTCCTTCGAAACACGGCAAAACCACAGTGATGGAAGTCTAAGCACCCCTGTCAGAGATGCTGTTATTCACACCGGCTGTAGGCAAAGTGAGAGGGGCTCGGGATCCCACCACCACCAGCGAGACCAAGTGCTGCATCCCGAGCCTCCGAGCACGGACTCCACAGGGAGTCAGAGGCACATTTAGGAAGAAAACACCGGGATGGTCTGAGCAGCGCTGGATTTCCCCACGCAGCTGACTCAGAGCTCGCGTTTTCCAGTGAACAGGCGCACCCCTCAACCCACCGACTGTGGGGCGAGGGACTCCAAAACCTCTGGGAAAGCAGCATTTGCATAGCCTGAGGCCGACAGGAAAACCCAGAGCAGCGTTACCCCCGTGGACCATGCACGCACAGCCCTCACAGACCCCTGGCAGCTACTCAAGCCCCCTCCGTGCCCTCATGACTCCGAGGGAGCGGCTCAGTCTCCTCTATATCCTCACAGCGCTTCTACCCCCTCATGGCGCCCACCCCAGCCGCTTACGAACTCCGGGGGACCCTCCACGTCCTCAGGGCGCCCCCAGCCCCTCACAAAGCCCCAGGTTCCCTCCATGTCCTCAGGGCGCCCCCAGCCCCTCACAAAGCCCCGGGTTCCCTCCATGTCCTCAGGGCGCCTCCAGCCCCTCCCGACCCCCGAGTGCCCCTCCATGTCCTCAGGACGCCCCCAGCCCCTCACGGAGCCCGGGGTTCCCTCCACGTCCCCAGGACGCCTCCAGCCCCTCACGGAGCCCGGGGTTCCCTCCACGTCCCCAGGACGCCTCCAGCCCCCCACAGAACCAAGAGACCCCCCAAGAGCCGCCCGCGAACACCCCGCAACCTCCGCGGAGCCGCCCCCGCTCCCTCCCCGCGCCTGCGCCGGCGGAGCCCCAGCGCGCCTGCGCCGCGCCGCCGGGGCTATAAAAGGCGGCGTTGCGGGAGCACCGCCCGGTGTCACCTCCCCGTCCCGCCGTGTCCCTGTCGCCGTCACCTCCGGCAGCAGCGAGCATGGAGGCGGTGGTGCGGCGCTGCCCGTTCCTGGCCCGCGTCTCGCAGGCGTTCCTGCAGAAGGCCGGGCCGTCGCTGCTGCTGTACGCCCAGCACTGCCCGCGCATGATGGAGGCGGCCCCGCCGGCCGCCCGCGCCCTCGCCACGTCCTCCGCCCGCGGGCAGCAGGCGGAGGAGGAGACCCCCGCGGGCCGCCGCGGTGAGTACTGGCCCGAGGGGCCACCCTCGAGGGGAAAAAAAAATAACCCAGACGTGGTGTGTCACAGGGGGAAACTTCTGGAATAGGCAGCGCCGAGGCAGGGGTTGCTTAATCCTTTAAATGCCCGCCGTTAATTGAATTTATGGCATAAATCAGACCTGTTCGGGCGTCCCGGTTGGGGATCTGGGATCCTCGACCTCGGAGCGGTGTTTCTCGCGCTTCAGTGGTGCTTCATCCCACCCGGGAGCATTCCTTGGGGGATTCTTTCCCTGGCGCTCAGGGCGAGGAATTGGGGCTTGCGGCAGAGGAAGCTGCATGGATCTGAACTCCTCGAAAGTAAAATCACAATCAGTTAGGCTGGAAAAGCCCTCTGAGATCGAATCTAACCTACGACTGAATGCTACCAGGGCACTAGGTGCCATGTCCAGTCTTCCCTTAAGTCTTTTCCTTAAATCTTCCCACCGGGAGTGAAAGAGATTTATTTTTTTCCCCTCAAAGGGTGTAGGGCTAAACCTAGTGTCTTAAAGCAGATGTCCCTTGGGTGTTACTAGGAATTTGTGCTTGTATAAATAAAATGTGACTGCTCGGTTAAATAGTTGTGAATGGGTCGTGCCAAATTAATTGCGAAGGTGATGGATAGAAAAGCTTAAGTTGGGGTGTATTAAAATGATGAAGCTGAAGTGTCTTCCCTTCTCTGCCCCCACCTCAGAGGCCAAAAATACCAAAGAAGTGGCCCAGCAGAATAGAGATGGAGCCCAGCCTCCTACTGGCCACCCCCCTGCTGGTGCTAGCCAGAGCTCTGCTACCAAATGCCCGTTCCTGGCAGCTCAGATGAATCACAAGAACAGCAACGTTTTCTGCAAAGCCAGCCTGGAACTCCAGGAGGACGTGCAGGAAATGCAGGCGGACAGGAAAGGTACGTACTCCGTGTGCTGAAGCGGCGATTCCTTCTGAGAGCTTCTGGTACCTGACTTGGCTCTGGAGTGTGCCAGGTCTGACAGTCACCACTGGCATGATGCGGGCGGGATCATGGGAGACTGAAGGAAAAAGAGCTTGTGTGCAGGGTTTCCCTGGGTGATTTTGGTGTGGGAATACTGTGTGACGTATTTTGATGTGCTGGCTGGCTCCGGATGTGTGAATCAAGCTGATGCACTCACACACAAAGCAGATGCTTAGGTCTGAAGAGAGCTGGTATAGACAAAGGTTTTATATCCAAAGAGGGAAGAAGCTGTGTCGAGACATCAGGCAGGTACCAGCACAAATCCAAGCAGATGGTTTTGGGGTTGGTTTTTTGTGTTTGTGGAACTAAAGGGTGTTGGCTGGCTTGCAGTCTTGATGCGGAAGGGCTCTCCTGCAAAGGAAGGAACTTTTCAGCAGTATCAGTAAAGCCTTGCTGCCTGTCTCAGGAAGCTTATTTTACTTTTCTTTTTGCTTTCTATGGCATAGTAAAAAAAAAAAATCTGTGCTAACAGAAAGGAAGGAGCTGACTAGAACTCTTCCTTCAGTTAGGTGTGTACCAACCCTTTCAGATAAATGTTGTAGCTGTATACAGCGTTCTTCTGAGTCATGATGAACCAAATGTGTTGTAAGGAAGTTACATGTTGTATTTTGATTGGTTAGCAAGGCTCGTCCTTTTTTCTCGTCCGATGCAAATTTGTAAGCAAATAAAGTAGTTGATCCTAACAGGGGCCTGAGTTTTGGGCATGTGCTTCCTAAAGATTGAAGAGTTAGGCTTACTTAAAACGTTTGCTTTGCTGAACTCCACTTATTTCATTTTGATTCAAAACAATTAAGCTCACTGGAATTTATTACAATGCCTGTAGGTACAGAATTTGCCAAAATACCAACTACTTCTGCAGTGAGGAGCATCGAGACTGAGGGAGAAGAGCAGAGTGGCTTGCTCAAGAAGTTTAAGGATATTATGCTGAAGCAAAGACCAGAAAGTGTCTCTCACCTACTTCAGGATAACTTGCCAAAATGTAAGAATGTCGGGCAAAACCCCCACGGGGCCTGGTCTCTGTTGTGATTATTTCCTGTGTGCTTAAGAGGTCTCTGTCTCATTTCAGCTGTATCCACCTTCCAGTACGATCAGTTCTTTGAGAAGAAGATAGATGAGAAGAAGAAGGATCACACCTACCGAGTGTTCAAAACCGTGAACCGGAAGGCGCAGGTCTTCCCCATGGCAGATGACTACACTGACTCCCTGATCACCAAGAAAGAGGTGTCTGTCTGGTGCAGCAATGATTACCTGGGCATGAGCCGCCACCCTCGTGTCTGTGGAGCAGTTATGTGAGTAGTGCTGTGTTCTTAAGAGGCAGTTTCAAGCTATGTGGCCCTGCAGAAGCTTTTGTGGGAAGGCTTCTGAGGAATTGATTTCTGTACTGTGCTACATAAGTTGCTTCTGATATGATTCTTGCTGTGCAGTTAAGCGTGCACTCTTCCCTTGAGCTGGGGTAGGTAACTCAGTGTTTAGTCCAGGGCTGCACTGTACCCCTTGGTCACTGATTCTGCTCCTTGGATTTTCCTTAGAAGCCCCCAGATGTTACCAGATAAACTGGATGGTGTATTGCAGCTGTATTTGGGCACTGATTTCTTACCTTACTGGGTTCCTGAGTTGTGCAAGTTTCTCAAAGACCTAACAGTTCCTTTTTAGTTATAATCCTGATTATGTATTAGAATGTTTTCAGCAATGATCCTTCATTCCTCTCTGTGTCACAGAGCAATGCTAATGCCTCTCTTTGGGCCCTCTTTAGGGATACACTGAAACAACATGGTGCTGGAGCAGGAGGCACAAGAAACATTTCAGGAACAAGTAAATTTCATGTGGACTTGGAAAAAGAACTAGCTGACCTTCATGGAAAAGATGCAGCACTGTTGTTCTCATCTTGCTTTGTAGCCAATGACTCCACTCTCTTCACTCTGGCTAAAATGCTGCCAGGTGAGATCTCAAACTGCACCCCTGTTACCACAAAAAACACAGCCTTGCCCTAAGCTGTTGGGAGTACGTTTTACAAGCTGTCCAAAGTGAAGATTCATCCTAATCCATCAGCAAAGTATGGTTGGGTGCCACTTCTAATGCCATGTTCAGGTTATGTTCAACACAAATCATAGTATCAGCCTACTGAGATTGAGATCTAGGAGCTGGGAACTGCTGGAGGAATTAGACAAGCAGAGAATCTTCTGCTCTTGCAGTTAAATTCTACCTGAAAATGAGACAGCGGGAATTTAGAAGTTGTAAGAGTTACATAAAAGTACTGAGGACTTTAAAATCTTCTGTATTTCCTTAAGCTCCAATTTGCCTTAGTTTGAACACCTAAAATAAACCTTAAATATTATTCTTGCTTCATGATCTGTAACTTGCTCTTTTGATCAAGAGCATTACTTCCAAGAACATGGCTACCCTTGTTTCCTGAACACTTCACGTACATAAAACAATGCTGGGAATTGGTTAATGTTTTCTGTATACTGAAAAGTGTAACTGGGCTGTTTCCTCAGGTTGCGAGATCTACTCTGATTCTGGAAACCATGCCTCCATGATCCAGGGGATCCGTAACAGCAGGGTGCCAAAACATATATTTCGCCATAACGATGTCAACCACCTTCGAGAACTATTGAAGAAGTCTGATCCATCCACCCCTAAAATTGTTGCATTTGAAACTGTTCACTCAATGGATGGTAAGCTGACATGAAAGCCTCCTCTCTCCTTCCATTTAGTCCTCCAATCATCTGTATTTTAGGTCTGAAAGCGCACAGTAAGGGCTGTTTAGGGGTAGTTCTGGTGTTTATCCAAGCTGCATACAGGGAATCCTGAACTGCCAGTTGCTGCTTTGGTTCCTAGGTGCAGTCTGTCCTCTGGAAGAGCTGTGTGACGTGGCCCACGAGCACGGGGCCATCACTTTTGTGGATGAAGTGCACGCTGTGGGGCTGTATGGAGCTCGAGGTGGTGGCATAGGAGACCGGGATGGAGTCATGCACAAGATGGACATCATCTCTGGAACGCTTGGTATGCATGGCCTGGTACTTCCACAGGAGCTAAGGCACCAAAGCTTCTGAGCAGCCAAATTAAGTGGGTTAACTCAAAATCTGTCTACTCAAATGAACTTGTTGAGGGCTCTTGGGGGTAGGATTTTTTCAAAAAGCCCAAAGGATTTAAGTTTGCCCCACAGTTTGAAAAGCTTCTGTTAAGCTACTTAAACTGTCTTACAAAACAGTCAAAGAAAAACCCCAAACAATGGTACCTTAAGCAAGCTAGCAAAAAGTCCTCCAGTGCCATGTTATACAACTCAAGAATAAATTCAGGTGAGAATGCTAGTAGAGTAGTTTCTCTATATTTAGTAGTACTTAGTTCCTTTATGTGAAACGGAGTACTCCTAATCTAGAAATCTGAGATGGGGAGTTATGTAAAGAGGTTTGGCAAGAAAAGAAGCAACTGCTATTATCTAAGTAGAATGCAGGCTCAGGAGTTAGTTTACTGCTGTTGTTTAAACAGCTTTCAAAACATAAATAAAATTTACTAGGAAAGTTCATGGCTTTGGAACTTAAACTTGGGTTACAGCCTAATAGGAACAGAAGCATTCACCAGCCACCCTAGTTC